GGACTCCCTCAAGGTGGTGTCGGAGAGGCGGATGCTGTCCAAGATAAAGACAATGTTGGATAACACCTCCCACCAACTCCATGACATGCTGGTGTAACCCAGTAGAGAAAACTACCTTTTGTTATTTTTTTCTTGTTTTCGTTTTGATTGTATAAATGTATTTTCATTATTTTATTTTGAAAAGAAACATTTATTTTGAAAAAAGGAAGTGTGATCCTCTAGCAAACTTTTATTTTCTGTTGCTGGATCACAAGGGATAAATGCCTTTTTCATTGGTTGAAGGTGGTTTTAGCCCCGTCTTCCGAAACACCAGACCATCATTTCACATGAGGTAGATCTTTTCGCACGTGGAAATAGATGAGACAGGTCACGGATAGCTCGTGCGGAATTTTCTAACATTTTGGTGAGTTGAGCCCATGGGTTTGAAAAGTTAATAATGTGTTAGTCTGTTGCTAAAAGTTGTTTCTTCTGTTCATACCGATTCGCGAGTGGTAATTTGCTGTTTAAAAACGGTTGAAATGCTGTTGTGGTAGGATTTGTTTAGCATACTCGAAGGATGATTGGAAAAATGTATTATCTTGCTGGTTATACCTATTAATCATAATTTCATGGTTAAAAAGAGAACAAGAAATTCATTTGTTGTTTACATGGTTAAAATAATTTCATGTATAACGAGAGATATATTCAAAGCATGCATGTAATGTATTACTGTGGTAATGTGAAAGAAATGTGAAAAGAGATAAAGAACTAAAGCTATAGCTGTGATACAAGAGAAGAAACGGAGCTGGCTGTGTACAATAATGTTAATATTGTTGTGCAGGCTAGGTTTTTTTCCCTTGTCCGTGTGGAAGGAACTAAGATTTTGGATTCCAATGGATTCTCTCCGGATGGAGATGGCGAGCCTGAGCCCAGACTGAACTTTGCAGAGGAACTTACTCTTCTTCCTCGACGGAGACTCCCAAGTGGTAACACACAAACCACAAACGGAAGAGAACAAGAACTAGACTAAGAATTTTTGACTTGACAAATGACCAAAGACAAAAAGACAATTGAATATTGAGCTCAAACGACTATTTTTGGGGTTATTTTTGTTTTGCCGGCTTCTTCTTATTATTGTTATGGTTATTATCACTACTACTGTCAATGTGGAATTTGTGTCTTGTTTATTTCATTTTTGTGCAAAATAATAACTGTTGCTGCTCAAATTCCTGTCTCCAGCCATTTCATTCTGCATTCGCCTCGCTTTCTATTGTAGCCCTGCCGAACCTAGCAACTGGTCCGTAGTTTGGCTGTCCTAAACTATTTAAAATGAGTCAGTGGTTACAAAAACATATTTAAAAAATAACATCTCTGTGCAGTTAATGAATGGTGAAATAAAAAATGTCATATAGTCTTTTACAAGTCAACAAGTGGTCACCGTACTCTAATAGCTCAGCTGTGCTGTAGATGGGTTTCCCTCTTCACTATCAATCATGTCTTTGTCCTATAAAGTGGGAGAACAACTACACTGGTGACTTTTCATTTTGTCCTGTTACCATTTGTAACTAATTTGTTGACTTTATGTCATTTTAGTTTCTAATAAAATGTCATGCAGTCCTGTGTTCCCTGATTTAATTAAATCTGTGAATTAGGATGCAGAAGCAGAAAGTTTAGAGGTTTTATTGCAGGGTTAATAAATGGTGGTGTGAGAGAAATTCTGCACAGACTCTGAGTCTGAAAGACGAACAGTGTTTGGAGTCTGCTGTTACCATCACAGCTGTGTAGGTGGCAGTAATACAACTTTATGCTGGTTCTCAGCCACTAATGAAAAAGAAGTGAGCTTCTTACAGCTCTTCATAACTTACTGTTATTACTGTATTTTTATTTTATCTGATCAGCAATAATTCAGGTCGTTAAAGTGTTTGAAATGTTATTAGTGTTATTGCTCATTATTACTGTGATTAGTGTAACGGCTTTAGGACCCAGGGGATCAAACAGAGGGTATAAAAAAGGAAGTAGCAGCAGGTGCTCTTCTTCTTCTTCTCTCCTTTGTTCTGATGTGAGGCTGTGGACTGTGGTGTTTTTGGGATGCTGCAAAGTTTTGGAGTGTGAACAGAGTGTGCTGAGGAGATCGTGTCACCATATAAGTGAGCATACTGCCCTTTAGCAGAGATTCAAGGTATAGACTGAATGTTTTTAAGTTATCTTTCTTTAAGCCTTTAAAATAGATTAATTTAAATTAATCTTTAAATTACCAGTTAAAATATTATCCTACAGGATCGAGGCCTCAGTGCTCCTGTGTTTTTGATTATTATATTAGTGTATTTTTGTTTATTTGATCAGCAATAATTCAGTTTATTATGTGTTTGAAATAAATTGAATGACTGAATCACACTTAAAAGTGTTTTTTGTTCTTGTTGTTTTATGCATTTACTCTGAGTGTGTGATTATTGTGCTGCTGTTACAGTCTTTCTGTTTTACTTCTCAGCACTGCCATCATGTGTCTGAATACACAGCGCACAGTCAAACTCAACAACCTCAGTTAAAGATTTGATAACATTTAAAGCTGTTGAGCACCAGTGCAGGTTATTTTTGACCTGTGTTTGTGTTTTTGAATAAATCTCTTGAAGTTTTTGCAAATTAAAAATGTTGTATATTTCTGATGGATGTAAAACTTTTAAAACACTGAAAGAAATTTTAAATAAATTCAGATCTGCAAAGAAATGCATTGATTATGTTTTATTCAAGAATCAATATCAAACAGTATCACAAGATCAAACTGCAAAGAATAACATCTTTACTCTTCTGAGCAGTTTACATGTGTGTGAAAGACTGTTGGTGGTCACCATCTTTTCTGCCACAGGCTTATTTTTATCCACTGACAGGCCTCATGGTTTCTGGTTGGGTCACCATGAACAGAGGAAATGCAGCCTGTGGTTTCAGCCTCAAGTCTTCGGTGTAGCTGATGTTTAGTTTTATGTTATCAGCTCACAGCAAAGAGTTAACAAGGAGCACAGACAAAGAGCACAGTATGAATTTCACTTTGACCTCTGTGTGCATGACACATGTTTACATGATGTGCCTGTACTGGAATAACAGTAGTGACAATCGAATATTCAGTTATCTTTATAAAATAGTGCCTCTTCTTCATCATTTTTCATTAATCAATGTAATAAATCCGTAAATCAAACAATCATTTGCACCAAAGTTAATTTATTCAAAGCTAATAATTGAAAACAAAATGAAATTTCTTCATATTTTTGTTCATTTTTTGCACTTTAAGAAAAGTTTTTTCTTTAACGTGTGAATATTTCTGTAACTGTTGGTGACCTCATAGCTGCAGGCTTATCTGCACCATCTCTACACTTAAACGTTACAGTGACTTCATTATTTCCATCAGCCTGCAGAACTAAAATGAGGAAGAACAATTGAAGCTAAATATGAGCTGCCTTCCAGATCACATGCTTTAGCTCTGACAGCACAGACAGATGATGAGGAGACTGTGAGACGTTAAACAGGCAGAATACAGAGCTCAGAGTTTTACACGTTCTGGTTTGTTGTCTTTCACACTCCTTAAAACATGAGAAAATATTTACTGATCTTCATTTTACTATAAATAACACCTCGGTGTGTAAATTGCCTTGATTGCTAATTTACTGTTAATAGTTAATATTTATTATTATCAGAAAAAGAAAACCATAAGAATCTAAAATCTAAAACAAGACGCTAAAACAGGGCCAACTTTCTCTAAATGTAATCACACAGAGCTCAGATGAGTAGAGAGTGTTTCCACAGCAGGTGTGTTTTTGCACAACTGAAGGTTTGCAGGTTGAACACTGGAGAAGATCAGAGACAGAAGAAGACTGGATTAAGTGGATAAACTACAAGGATGATTCTCTGCAGTCAGGTTAGTTTCCTCAGTGTGCTGTAACTCAGTGAGTGGATGAACAGTCGACCCTTTTATGTGCAGCTATTTGAGGATGGAGAACAAATGTGCCAACCTGAGCTGACTGGAGCAGGTGAGGAAGATAACTAACACATCCCACTGAGAAGGAAGAGCTGTGGAGCTGTGACAGACTGTGGCAACATCAATGAAAAAAGGCAAAAATCTAATAATTATTTTATTACAGTCCTGATATCAGACCTCTGTTTATTTGTTTATTAGAAGCTCAGATATTAACCCTCTAAAGACTGAATCATAAATAAAATGAAAACTTTTTATAAGCTGGTGTGTTTTTTTAACCTTATGAGAAATAAATATTTTTCACATGAGGTGGAAAAAATCTTTTTTAGCTGCATCTGGCATTTTTGTACAATTTGTTGCTCAGTTTATCTTCAAATAAAAACATAACGTTTTTTTTAACACATTAAACTTTGAGTTTCCTTTCAAAATGTTCACAAATCTTTTAGAAAACTGGTGAAAATATCTTTGAGGAATCGTTGAAGGCTCGTTGACTGATGTCAGCCATGTTGGATGTCTCAGCTGAGGGCACTGCATGAGTTGCTGATCCCTGCTGGTTAATCTGTGCACTGCATGTGTGTCTGTAGACATCAGGTTCATTAACGTGAGCAGAAAAAGCCAAGCAACAAACTTTGTTAAAGAGGATGAAAAGAAACTTGATGAATGTTGGTCGGATATTCTTCTGTCAGAGGAGACAAAGATAAATTTGTTCACATTCAGTCAGACAGATCAGTGAGTCTGTAGTTGTGATACTGAAGGGTGGAGGCAGGACACGACAACAAAGACAAAACTATGACCTGCAAAGTGTGTCAGTAACTAAGCAACAGAGCACCTTTGTATATCACAGAGAAAGGTAGGAACACTAAACAGGAAAGAAACTTAAATGTTTGCAGTGGACAGGAAATGTGAACACGTCACACAACTGCTGTGGTCAAAGCTACAGGAGCTGTTTGAGGTTGGTGTAAAAGGAAGGAAGCACAGAGAGGTGATAGAAGGATGAGCTGAATATAAACTCTGGTCTCATCTACATTAAGTGCAGCTTCTCTTTATCAAGGCAAAGTCGAAACCTTTGAGATTAGATGCAGATTAGCGTGCAGGGCTGGACGTGAGGATGGGGCACTCTTTACTCTGTTTGCTGGGGTTATTCTGTGAGTACAATACACACCTTTACTGTTTGAATGGCAGCGATAAAGGAAAATGTTTCTCACTGGTGACAATTACAGTGTATCACTGCTTTAACCTGTTTACCTGACAGCTTCAACACAGCAGACTAGATGTTTCCAGCTGGTTTCACAGCTAATAGAAACACATATATTTGGTGATGAGTAATAACTGTGCCATGTGAAGATTTAAAAAAAAAAACTCAGTTTATATATTTATTGTGATTTTGTCAGTTGTATAATGTCTGATGATGTTTCATTCATTATTTTAGTGCTCGGTACAGTCAGACATGGAAACACTGAAGGTGAGAAACTGTTTTTTCTTCTTGTGTTGCTCTAAATGACGTCCTCTGTGTTATATTTTGTATCATAAACCAAACATTTCATTGATTTATTGGTTAAAATGTTAATATAACCATGTTAAGTGTGTGAGCAATCAAACACACACCCACGATACAAACTGTACATTTACTGAAGAGCTGTGGCTTCATACATGTGGATTTTCTTTTCATGTTTATCTGATCTGAAAACATCAACAGTGTGTGTAGTGCAGTTTATCTCACTGAGTTATGCTGTTCTTCACATCACACTGACCTGTGATGTGAAGAACTCTGCTGACTTTGAATATGACTGGTTCAGAGAACCCAGTGTTTACTCTAACCAGAAGACCAAAGTAGCTGGTGAATCAAAGGGAGAACTTGTGACCTCTAAAGGCGGCATCTACGCCTGCAGAGGACGTATAAAAGGGACACATTTACTCACAGTAGAAAGTGATCCAGTCATCATTCAGGAAACTGGTGAGTTTAAAAATGTCATATGAAATAAAACAACATGGATTCTCCAAAGTTTGGAGATCAGAGGGGGATAATATTATGACAAAAACTTATGTTACAAAGTGATTTACGGCCCCAACCTGCCAAGTTATTTCTGAATATATAAAGTGTTATAAAGTTAAAAAATAATAAACAATAATTGGGTTAAAATATTTGATAATATTGTTTTTTATTTTTAATGATAATATGTTAATCAGTCAGAAATTAAATGTGTGGCTCAGTCGTTCATAAACGTGTTTTGTGATTTGGCCCCTGATGCTCCAGTTGTCACGGTTCAGCATTTTGAGTCTCGTGTGTTTTGGTATTTTATAATATGTTTTATGTTCTGAGTCCTTTGCTGTTTTGATTATTGCAGTTATTATTATTATTACCCCAGGATCAGTTATGGCTGTTACGGTTTTAGTTCTTAGGTTTTGTTTTATGTGTTCATGTTGTGTTTACTCTGTGCATTTCTGTCCCACGTTTCAGGTCTCTATGTTCTGTCTCAGTCTCTGTTAAGTTTACATGTCTAGAGTTCAGTCGGTGTGTTTCCTGTTTTACTTTGAAGGTCTGCGTCTCATGTCAGTGTTTCTAGTTTTGTTTCCCTTGTCTCGTCCCCCTAATAGACCCTGTGCACGAGAAAATGATAACTTCCTGGTTTGAGACAGGATCTGGGGTTGTACATTTCTGGTAGCTTTACTTTGTGGTCAATCGCTACTGTGAAGACATCCTCCAAAATCATGTCCAGAACAGAAAAACTGAAAGATCAGGTTAAGTTACAAAGAGCAGAAGGTGGGAACACTCACCACTGTGTGTCATAAAAAAATCTAATGATCAATTTTGACGTTTAAGCGTTTAGATCAATCAGTTGTTTACATCACTCAACACAAGCAGAACTGCATCACTGCAGCAGAAGACACATCGTCCACATTCAGAAGCACATCTCTGTATAGTGACTGGTCTTATGATTTAAACAGGCAAATGTTCAGCATTCAAACTACAGGTGAAGAATAGTCAAACCAGATGTTTCCCTGTTATGTCGATATCAGCTAGTCAAGTACACACCTACACAGCATGTTAACAAACTGTGAAAAAAGCCACACAAAAAATGAATGATTGCTGGTAAGGGTTTCTATACATTAGTATTTATGAAGGGTATGTTGTGACTTACCTTCAAAATTACAGTGGTCCTTCGCTATGACGCGGTTCACCTTTCAACTCGCTGTTTAGCAGATTTGTTAGTGCAAGTTTGCACGTTTTTTTTTTACATCACATTGTGTCCTGCGTCCTGATCGCTGCAGACGATCTCCTCCGTGCCGTCTCTGCTGCACAGTACACAATCGCTGCATCGATGGCTAGCAGTGTGACTCTGAAGTGCAGTCACACTGCTTTTTCCCCAACAAACACAACAATGTCGACGAAACGTTTACCACCATCAAAAAAATAAAATTGGCTACTTGATTTCACCTATCGCTGGTTATTTTTAGAACATAACACCCGCGATAAACGAGGGACCGCTGTTTACAAATACTGAGAAATATAGAATTTAAATCCTTTCTCTGTTCTGCTCTGAGGCGCGGGGGAAAAATATCGACAGGTCTATGAACAGCATCTACATATATATTCCGTAAATGCCCAAGACATCTTGAGAAATGTAAATCTCACCTCGATTCATCAATTTGGTTGACTTGTTTTGGAAAAAGCGGCAGTAAACAAGGAGCGAATATAACACCGGAAACGAAGCGCCCTACAGGAGTTTCCCCACCGGAAGTAGCATATGCTAATGTGCACATAGTCTATCACTCCCAGCTGTGCTCTCCTTCTGTGTCTCATTCCCTTCATTATACTGCAGCTCTGTTACCATGTTGAGACAGAAATCAGAGAAAATTTGAAATGTCTTAAACTGAGAGGAAAGAAAAAACAATATAAAGAAAATATTTGTGTAGATTTTGTTTTGTTGGAATTTGAGTAACTTGAAGAAATCTTTTAAAATTTAGGATATTTTACATTTACATTGTATCAGGTGTATATTTTCTTACCTGATTTTTCATAACAGCATATAGACCCAGGGCCATATCCATTTACCCAGAGTCACTAACTGAAAATCTTCAGATCTGTTTTAGGTATGATTGATTGTTTTTATGCAATTTTAATGAATCATCTGCATATTTATATAATTTTCCTCCTTTTTCACAACATCAGATAAACCCAGGGCCACACTGACAGCAGGAACTACAATCATACCAGTAGGGGGCAGTGTGACACTGACCTGCTCTGTGCAGAGCTCTGATGGATGGAAATATGAGTGGTTCAGACGAACCCAAAGAACCTCTGAAGGTCAAATCAGAGATCAACAAAACAGAGATATCAGAGTATCTCAAGGAGGAATCTACCGCTGCAGAGGAACAAGAGGAAACCCAGTTTACTACACTGATAGAAGTGATGATGTCACCATTGAGATAACCTGTGAGTTCAGTCATTTAGTTTGAAATATACATTCACTCATGATTATCAAACATACAATGTGAAGTTTTCTGTGTTGATTTCATGTTTCTATTTGTATCTCAACTGTTAATATGTGTAAACAGTTTCCAATAAAGTTGTTGTAAAACAACAACCCAACTGGCCTCAGATATTCAGAGGTGAGACGATCACTCTGACATGTGAGGTGCAGGAAGGAGGTGAAACCACTGAGTGGGAGTATGGATGGAGAGAACGCGGGACACCCACACAGTGGACACACAATAATGATTGGACATTCAGAGTGTCTGAGTCCAGCAGTGGAGACTACATGTGTAAGAGTCGACGCAGAGATGACTCATATTCTTCAACAGAGTGGAGTGAAGCCTTCACATTGTCAGTATCAAGTAAGTCATGTTTGTTGTGTGATCTCCATTTGACAAATGTCATAATGGTCAGCACAGGATGAATTCAATGGTCTACAAAGCATGTTACATTGTTGGTCAGACAAAGAGCTGCAGCTGATAGTAGCCTCATTGTAGACAGTTTGTCACCACTTTGTGTCACGAACCTTCAGCTGGTATAGAGACGCCAATGCTGACCTGCTGCTCCATCACCTGAGGACAATACTGACAGAAATAAACAGAGATAATAATGATAATAATAATAATAATAATAATAATAATAATAATAATAATAATAATAATAATAATAATAATAATAATAATAATAATAATAATAGTAGTAGTAGTAGTAGTTTACAACAAATAACAATAAATCTACAGTTTGTATTTTTTTTTAAGTCATTCTGGCCTGTCCTCTCATAAAACACTGCCATTTGTTAAAATAAAACACACACATGACTGTGTTTAATACAAAAAGCAATGATGACCAATTAGATTTAGAGCTCAATTGAAAACATTTATGGTTGGAGCCACACCAGCTTCACTCCAAAAAAGACACCAGAGCAAAGCAGCAGATGGAGGAGAATCGAGGGAGGGAAGTTAAAAATATAACATAAACATAAAAATATTGTTACTGTTACTATGACTACCATAATCTCCACCACTAGTCACCTCCAGCAGGAGGATACTGAGATTGAGCCCTTTAAAGTCACTCACAGAACCTGAAGATGGTCCAGTTCAGTGTGTGTGTGTGTGTGAATGTAGAATCACATAAGTGATGGATATGTTTGATTTACTGATATTATTAATGATGTGATTTTTGATATTTGATGTTAGTTACTGTCTCTGACTGTATCAGTGAAGACCTCCCTGCTTTATCACTGTAACCAGTAGCATTTATTCATAATGTGTGTTCAAATATTCAGAAATAGTATAAAATACAGAGTATCTTTAATTAATTTTGTTATGGAAACTTTTTTCATGCTGTGAAATTTGAAACTTTAACCAGGACTGCTGTATTTTACCTGTTACTTTGCTCACAAATGCTGTAATCGATCATTACTACATGTATGTGTTTTAATGTATAATAACAGCAACAGCAGATAAAAATATAGTTTTAAAAAGGAAAAGAAACATTTAAACCTTCACAAAAGGTGACTTCTTTCTATTATACAGTATAAAACAAACACCAAACATTTCCCTCTTAACACATCATTGTGTTTCCTTCAGCAGTGAACTCCATTAGTTTACATTCAGTGTAACTTCTTCAGGCCAGAAAATGGACAAATAGTTTTACTATCCTTACTTTGTAATGTAAGAGTTACTGCAGCTCTGGCATCATGTTGACATAGACACAATTCAGCAACAGAAAATCAAACTGTCTTAAAGTGCAGAGAAAAAAGTTTGTTCTGTCATCTGGGGAGTTTTTAAAGTTTAAATGTATTTTCTTGTATTTTTAGTCAAGAGGATGAAAAATGTATATGTTTCCTTTTTCATAACATCAGATAAACCCAGGGCCACACTGACAGCAGGAACAACAATCATACCAGTAGGGGGCAGTGTGACACTGACCTGCTCTGTGCAGAGCTCTGATGGATGGAAATATGAGTGGTTCAGACGAACCCAAACAACCTCTGAAGTTCAAATCAGAGATCAACAAAACAGAGATATCAGAGTATCTCAAGGAGGAATCTACAGGTGCAGAGGAGGAAGAGGAAACCCAGGTTACTACACTTATATAAGTGATGATGTCACCATTGAGATAACCTGTGAGTTCAGTAATTTAGTTTGAAATATACATTCACTCATGATTATCAAAAATACAATGTGAAGTTTTCTGTGTTGATTTCATGTTTCTGTTTGTATCTCAACTGTTAATATGTGTAAACAGTTTCCAATAAAGTTGTTGTAAAACAACAACCCAACTGGCCTCAGATATTCAGAGGTGAGACGATCACTCTGACATGTGAGGTGCAGGAAGGAGGTGAAACCACTGAGTGGTGGTATGATTGGAGAGGACCCAGGACACCCACACAGTGGACACACAATAATGATGTGACATTCAGTGTTTCTGAGTCCAGCAGTGGAGACTACATGTGTAAGAGTCGACGCAGAGATGACTCATATTCTTCAACAGAGTGGAGTGAAGCCTTCACATTGTCAGCATCAAGTAAGTCATGTTTGTTGTGTGATCTCCATTTGACAAATGTCATCATGGTCAGCACAGGATCAATTCAATGGTCTACAAAGCATGTTACATTGTTAGTCAGACAAAGAGCTGCAGCTGATAGTAGCCTCATTGTAGACAGTTTGTCACCACTTTGTGTCATGAACTTTCAGCTGGTATAGAGACGCCAATGCTGACCTGCTGCTCCACCACCTGAGGACAACAATGGCATAAACAGGATAAATAAATAATATATTCAAACAAATAACAATTGATCTACAATTTATATAAAGAAAATAATAAATGTAATTCTGAACTACCATCTGATCAAATAAATAAACACACACAGACATACCACCAAAAATAGTGGTACTGTTTCTATGATTAACAGTCTCATAACTCTGAGTCACTGCCACTCACCTTTAGCAGGAGGCTGATTGAGATTGATCCCTTTAAACTCCCAGGTCCTAAAGACGGACCAGCTTATTAATCAACCTTCAAGTACTTTTTAAATACAGCAAAGAAAATATAAAACTTTCACAGCTTTGATCAAAACGATTGTACAATTTGTATCTCTTCAAGATCACCAAGATTTGTTGATGTTCACCATTTACATCTAGTTATTTAAACGGTTTTGATTCAGTCACATGCAGCACACAGGACTGACAGCGCACAATCTGCTTTGAGGTAGCAGCCAAGAAAGATGCAGTTTGTGTCTATGAACAGTGAACATCCGTATGTACACGATTCAGTCATTGACTTTTGTTCTTTTTCTAAACTGAACTGCAGATAAACCAAAGGCCAAACTGAGAGCTGATAACACAGCTGTTCCAGTAGGGGGCAGTGTGACCCTGACCTGCTCTGTGAACCCATCATCATCATCTGGATGGAAATACTACTGGTACAGAGATAATACCACAGTGGATGTTGTCCCCACATCAAATGGACAAATCAGTGTCTCACAGGAAGGACTCTACAGGTGCAGAGGAGGAAGAGGAAACCCAGTTTACTACACAGAGGACAGCCAAGAAATTCAGATTAACATAACTGGTGAGTTTGGATTCAGCAACAATATTGAATAGATAGATGATTGAGGATTACTATGAAGGTCAAACAGCATTATATCTCATGGTAACCTCTTTGGCATTGTAATAATGATCTTATTGGAAATGGTTGAATATGAGTAGTCATGTAAAATGTGGAGTCTAGAGAATCAGTGTCAGGAATGTGATCCAAGGAGGGGAGACTAGGTGGGATTATGAATGTGAAACAATCATTTTCAGCAAATCTCCAAATCAGCATAAATTCACAATTAGTTCTGTAACAATTCTACAAGTAACACTGCAAGTAGTGTAGAGCAGGAGTCACAACATGAAACCACAGAGCAGAGTCATGCTGACAGTTTCTGACAGGAAACAGAAAATCTCAATGTAAACATCAGCTTTTGTTTCTTTATATTAAGATTTGACTCTTTGACATATTTATATAGTAAAAGTTTGTAACGCAGATTTACTGAAGTCAACATTTAAGAGGAAATTTAAGAGACTGGACTTGTGTTTATGTGTTCATTGTGGGGAGTCAAGTCATTTAAACACAGCAGGAGTTGACTCAAAGTGGTTTCAAGTCAAGGAAAATCGATGAACTGGATTTATTATAAAATTATCTTATAAAATATCAAATATAATTAAACTTTATTATTTGTTGTCACTATCTTTGGCAGAATTTTCATCTCCTGTGTGGTTGATTGTTCGACTGGTTTGTGGAGTCTCTCTCATTATTATTCTCCTGCTCTTGTTGTATCTCTGCAGACAGTCCAAGTGTAAGAGCCTCTTCTTTTCATGCTGTATTACAGAGTTTATTTACTACACACACTTTAATTATTCACACATATACATGTATTCTGATCTCATGACACAAAATATCAGTGGAACAATTTATACATGACAAACATGTGTAATAACATTTGTCTCTTTCACAGATTCCTGCTTCACCAGGTTGGTAAAATACTTTTAATTATTATTTTAAACAAACATCAGTTACTTTTGAGTTTATTGTGTTTATTTCCTGTTTCAGGTGGATCCAGTCTGAGAGTCACAGTCCGGGCTCCTCCACAAATCATGGAGTCAACCAGAATGAAACTCATGAACACAACTCTGTTCATCCTGGTCAGCACTTAAACCGATCTTTATTATCATTATTAATATTGACTTTTCATTCAGTCTCCATTAACAGGAACATTTCTTAGGTTCAGTTTGTGTTCAGCAGCTTTAAAGAACATTTATCAAAATCCAGTTGGACAAACATCCAAATAACCAACTGACTACATGCACAAAAGATCAGAAACAAACAGGATTTTACAACCTGATTGTATCTTTAACTCGACTGAAAGAATCCACAAATGTTATTGTTTCAGATCAGAACAACACAAACAGTAACACCATGATGGGTTCATGCTCTGAAAATATCTGATAGTCCTGGATTTGACTTAAACACAACTAATGAAATTGAATGTGATGTGTTCACAAACATTTTTACATTTCAGGTGCAGATGAACCTCGAGACGTCACATACTCTCTTATTAAACTTCAAAACCTTAGAAAGAAGAGTGAGTACACAAAACACGGTGTAGAAAAAAGCCTGGGAAGTTTTTAAAGTGTTTAAAATGTTTTAATTATTTTCATTAATCTGATCATCTTCACAGAGAAGCATCATAAAGCAGAGCAGAGTGCTGTTTACTCTGAGGTGAAGACAGGAGCTGCAGGTACAGTCACAACAGTCTCATTCAGTGTTTGCACTTGAATGTGTCATCACATCATTATATTGCAGGTAATTATAGGTCAACATGGAGTTTAGTTATTCACTGACCAAGCTTAGCTTCTACACACTACACATCACCAGAGTTGAATCTTATACACATCGAGGGCCGTTCAGAGTTTAGTGTAAGTTTGTCTGCTTCATATACAGAATGATATTGTTATTGTACAGTATGGTATTGTCCATCTATATGTCCCCCAACTAAATAGTTTCTCTCATGTTTTTACTCTGTAATGTTCTTGTCATCATATCTGTGCTGAACAAATGTGTCCTGAGCTCTGACGTCTCTTTTAGAGGACAGTCTGATGTATGCTGAGGTCAAACAGCCCAAAAAAGAAAAAGCCAAGAAAAACAAAGGTGAGCAAAGTCTGCCATCATCTCCACTGAATATTGTTTAACATGTTTATCTGCTCTTACAATGTAAATCTGTTTATTTTAATATTTATGTATTCACACTTTGTCAGCTATTTAAAATCTTCTCTTTTATCTTTGTGTGACCCCGTGGTAGGTACCTATTTAAAATAGGACAGAGCCGTAGGCGCACAGTCAGTTTAAAAGAGTTAAATTTTTGATACAAAATAAAAGAAACAGTGTAACAGCGGCACCTAAAAACAATTAAAAACGTTACCTCATTAAAAACGATAAAACTGTACGATTGCCCGTGAGACAGGACAAGCGCTGCAGGGAACCGTTTAAAAACAAATCAACATAGCACACAGGTTAAAAGTGGACGGCAACTCACACATGACCCCAGATGGGTAAAACACTATAGAAAAAAAGTCAAATCTTCGGTGCCGTCCTCACTCAGGCCCACCGCTGTGCATGCAAAAGCGGGGAGACAAAAAAAGGATTTGTTTTCCCTGCAGCGCCTTCACCGTCTGCGACAATATATATATTAAAAAAAGGGTTAAAATACTAAAAGAATCCATATCTGTGGTGCCTACTGATACAGAAAAGATTTAAACAAAAAAAAAAACAAAAACATCGACAGCCGCAACAGTCAGTCTGTCGACTTACACCAGTTTAAAACAAATTAAAACACACTGAAGTGTCGGGTCCTTTGCCCGCAGCCAGAGATCCACCTGGCAAAGCAGCAGCTCGGTACTCTGTAAATAAAAGGCAGGAGATCACTTAGCTGGACAGTAAAACACAGGAATATTCCTCAACTGAATGGGTTTTGTTACCTGTCCACAAGTTCGTGTCACACCCTAATAAATGTGGGTCAGTGGCGATGAAGTCCACTATACCGTTCTCGCGGGAGCAATGTTTCCCACCTACAAGGGTGCAAATAACTGTAAACCTCTGCCAACAGCCAGAGCTCAAGTGGTACATTTTTGTGTAACCTACCGTTCTAACAGAAGTTTAGGGGAAGACCCGTATCAGACTTTCATAGTTAAGAAACACCAACTTGCCCAACTCGGACCAAGCACTCGCAGTTTCAGGTTTGCAGAGGAATACCCAATTGCCCACACCTGCACTTATGAAAGGAGCAAAGACCAGCTCCGCCCACCAGGGGCGGTCCCGAGTCTCCAGGTCTCACCTGTCACATTTGCATCAGTGGAGACATCCAGTTTCCTCCTGGTTAATGATATTATTGTTTTCAATCATCTTCTCTTCATTCACAGGAACATCAAGTCCTGCAGCTGATGCAGCAGTTTATTCTGAAGTCACATCAGGAAGCTCTCTCAGTAATTCTGCTGCCATGCAGGCTGATTTATTCTTCATATTATTAAATGTCTTCAGCTCATAATATCTTTACATGTTGGAAATCACTTTGTCTTTTTGTGCTTGTCTTACAGGTCAGTGAGGAGAGCTGTAGCAGCAAAGCCAAGAAGAAGCTTTTTATGAAGCCACTCTTGCTTCTCTGCTGCCCAAATATCAGACATACTCAGCTTTATGTGCAGTTACAATATTACATCATAACATCATATAATTCAGTATAAACCAAATGGAGGTGTATTCATATTCAATATTCATGCTCTTTATCTTCGGTTACTTTTATAAAAAAAATTGTAATAAACCTTGACTGTATCTAACATGTTCCAACAGCAGTGAGAAATATGTGATGTTTAGTATCTGACAGCACAATTTACAGTCAGTGTTTGCAGTGTAAATACTGATATGGGCACCAACAAATACTTTAACTGTGTTTGTTTACATTATATAAATAAGAATTATATCATAGGCAGTGAATACATTTGAATGTATTTCATGTATATTTTTGTGTTTCTGATCATTTTTTTGCATCTTTTAGTTAGAAGGTAGAAATAAAATCTTTTGACATTTGAACATTTTATGTTTATTTTTGATTTTTGTTTCCTGTATGAAATTATCCACAAACTAATCAGATCATCTCTCTATGTGCTGATAGTTAAATGAAAAGATAACTTGTACATGGGCTAAATCTCATATGACAGATTGCATGGAGACAGAACATCACCGAGAATTAAAGCTCTGCATCAATCACGGTCAGCACGACTCAGAGAAGTAGCAGTATTAAAATTCATTAATACGACACAAACCTCAGAGCTAAAAATCCAGACAGGTTCAACCAAGAACAAGACAGCAACAAAACATCTGTCTGACCCTGCGGAGTCTGATTGTTTAGTCACAGTGAGGAGGAGGCACAGGTCAGTCAGGTGTAAACTTAACCAGCTGGGTTGAGCCTGGTTGGCATTTTTCTGCAAAATCAGCATGACGGTGATAAACAGTGCTGATCATATCCTCTAATACAGGGTGACCATAATTTGATTTCCAAAAAAGAGGACACTTGCGCCAGTCATGAAGAACCTTTATAATACTGTTTACATGAAGAAAACATATTTAAACAATAACATCTCTGTGCAGTTAATGAATGGTGAAATAAAAAATGTCATATAGTCTTTTACAAGTCAACAAGTGGTCACCGTACTCTAATAGCTCAGCTGTGCTGTAGATGGGTTTCCCTCTTCACTATCAATCATGTCTTTGTCCTATAAAGTGGGAGAGCAACTACAACTACACTGGTGACTTTTCATTTTGTCCTGTTACCATTTGTAACTAATTTGTTGACTTTATGTCATTTTAGTTTCTAATAAAATGTCATGCAGTCCTGTGTTCCCTGATTTAATTAAATCTGTGAATTAGGATGCAGAAGCAGAAAGTTTAGAGGTTTTATTGCAGGGTTAATAAATGGTGGTGTGAGAGAAATTCTGCACAGACTCTGAGTCTGAAAGACGAACAGTGTTTGGAGTCTGCTGTTACCATCACAGCTGTGTAGGTGGCAGTAATACAACTTTATGCTGGTTCTCAGCTACTAATGAAAAAGAAGTGAGCTTCTTACAGCTCTTCATAACTTACTGTTATTATTGTATTTTTATTTTATCTGATCAGCAATAATTCAGGTCGTTAAAGTGTTTGAAATGTTATTAGTGTTATTGCTCATTATTATTACTGTGATTAGTGTAATGGCTTTAGGACCCAGGGGATCAAACAGAGGGTATGAAAAAGGAAGTAGCAGCAGGTGCTCTTCTTCTTCTTCTTCTCTCCTTTGTTCTGGTGTGAGGCTGTGGACTGTGGTGTTTTTGGGATGCTGCAAAGTTTTGGAGTGTGAACAGAGTGTGCTGAGGAGATCGTGTCGCCATATAAGTGAGCATACTGCCCTTTAGCAGAGATTCAAGGTATAGACTGAATGTTTTTAAGTTATCTTTCTTTAAGCCTTTAAAATAGATTAATTTAAATTAATCTTTAAATTACCGGTTAAAATATTATCCTACAGGATCGAGGCCTCAGTGCTCCTGTGTTTTTGATTATTATATGAGTGTATTTTTGTTTATTTGATCAGCAATAATTCAGTTTGTTATGTGTTTGAAATAAATTGACTGACTGAATCACAGCTGAGAGCGATTTTTGTTGTTGTTGTTTTATGCATTTACTCTGAGTGTGTGATTATTGTGCTGCTGTTACAGTCTTTCTGTTTTACTTCTCAGCACTGCCATCATGTGTCTGAATACACAGCGCACAGTCAAACTCAACAACCTCAGTTAAAGATTTGCTAACATTTAAAGCTGTTGAGCACCAGTGCAGGTTATTTTTGACCTGTGTTTGTGTTTTTGAATAAATCTCTTGAAGTCTTTGCAAATGGAAAATGTTGTATATTTCTGATGGATGTAAAACTTTTAAAACACTGAAAGAAAATTCAAATAAATTCAGATCTGCAAAGAAATGCATTGATTATGTTTTATTCAAGAATCAATATCAAACAGTATCACAAGATCAAACTGCAAAGAATAACATCTTTACTCTTCTGAGCAGCTTACATGTGTGTGAAAGACTGTTGGTGGTCACCATCTTTTCTGCCACAGGCTTATTTTTATCCACTAACAGGCCTCATGGTTTCTGGTTGGGTCACTATGAACAGAGGAAATGCAGCCTGTGGTTTCAGCCTCAAGTCTTCGGTGTAGCTGATGTTTAGTTTTATGTTATTAGCTCACAGCAAAGAGTTAACAAGGAGCACAGACAAAGAGCACAGTATGAATTTCACTTTGACCTCTGTGTGCATGACACATCTTTACATGATGTGCCTGTACTGGAATAACAGTAATGATCATCAAATATTCAGTTATCTTTATAAAATAGTGCCTCTTCTTCATCATTTTTCATTAATCAGTGTAATAAATCCGTAAATCAAACAATCATTTGCACCAAAGTTAATTTATTCAAAGCTAATAATTGAAAACAAAATGAAATTTCTTCATGTTTTTGTTCATTTTTTGCACTTTAAGAAAAGTTTTTTCTTTAAAGTGTGAATATTTCTGTAACTGTTGGTGACCTCATAGCTGCAGGCTTATCTGCACCATCTCTACACTTAAACGTTACAGTGACTTCATTATTTCCATCAGCCTGCAGAACTAAAAATGAGGAAGAACAATTGAAGCTAAATATGAGCTGCCTTCCAGATCACATGCTTTAGCTCTGACAGCACAGACAGATGAGGAGGAGACTGTGAGACGTTAAACAGGCAGAATACAGAGCTCAGAGTTTTACACGTTCTGGTTTGTTGTTTTCACACTCCTTAAAACATGAGAGAATGTTTACTGGTCTTCATTTTACTATAAATAACACCTCGGTGTGTAAATTGCCTTAATTGTTAATTTACTGTTAATAGTTAATATTTATTATTATTATCAGAAAAAGAAAACCATAAGAATCTAAAATCTAAAACAAGATGCTAAAACAGGACCAACTTTCTCTAAATGTAATCACACAGAGCTCAGATGAGTAGAGAGTAAACAGGCAGGTGTGTGTTTGCACAACTGAAGGTTTGCAGGTTGAACACTGGAGAAGATCAGAGACAGAAGAAGACTGGATTAAGTGGATAAACTACAAGGGTGATTCTCTGCTGTCAGGCTAGTTTCCTCAGTGTGCTGTAACTCAGTGAGTGGATGAACAGTCGGTCCTTTTATGTGCAGCTATTTGAGGATGGAGAACAAATGTGCCAACCTGAGCTGACTGGAGCAGGTGAGGAAGATGACTAACACATCCCACTGACAAGGAAGAGCTGTGGAGCTGTGACAGACTGTGGCAACATCAATGAAAAAAGGCAGAAATCGAATAATTATTTTATTACAGTCCTGATATCAGACCTCTGTTTATTTGTTTATTAGAAGCTCAGATATTAACCCTCTAAAGACTGAATCATTAATAAAATGAAAACTTTTTAAAAGCTGGTGTGTTTTTTTGAACCTTCTGAGAAATAAATATTTTTCACATGAGGTGGAAAAAATCTTTTTTAGCTGCATCTGGCATTTTTTGTACAATTTGTTGCTCAGTTTATCTTCAAATAAAAACATAACGTTTTTTTTAAAACATTAAACTTTGAGTTTCCTTTCAAAATGTTCAAAAATCTTTTAGAAAACTGGTAAAAATATCTTTGAGGAATCGTTGAAGGCTCGTTGACTGATGTCAGCCATGTTGGATGTCTCAGCTGAGGGCACTGCATGAATTGCTGATCCCTGCTGGTTAATCTGTGCACTGCATGTGTGTCTGTAGACATCAGGTTCATTAACGTGAGCAGAAAAGGCCAAGCAACAAACTTTGTTAAAGAGGATGAAAAGAAACTTGATGAATGTTGGTCGAATATTCTTCTGTCAGAGGAGACAAAGATAAATTTGTTCACATTCAGTCAGACAGATCAGTGAGTCTGTAGTTGTGATACTGAAGGGTGGAGGCAGGACACGACAACAAAGATAAAACTATGACCTGCAAAGTGTGTCAGTAACTAAGCAACAGAGCACCTTTGTATATCACAGAGAAAGGTAGGAACACAAAACAGGAAAGAAACTTAAATGTTTGCAGTGGACAGGAAATGTGAACACGTCACACGACTGCTGTGGTCAAAGCTACAGGAGCTGTTTGAGGTTGGTGTAAAAGGAAAGAAGCACAGAGAGATGATAAAAGGATGAGCTGAATATAAACTCTGGTTTTATCTCCATTAAGTGCAGCTTCTCTTTATCAAGGCAAAGTTGAAACCTTTGAGATTAGATGCAGATCAGCGTGCAGGGCTGGACGTGAGGATGGGGCACTCTTTGCTCTGTTTGCTGGGGTTATTCTGTGAGTACAATACACACCTTTACTGTTTGAATGGCAGTGATGAAGGAAAATGTTTCTCACTTGTTAGATTTGTATTGTTGATTGTCATTTATGCTTAGAAATATTTACTTATATATGCTTAGAGTTTTGTAATTAGTTGTAGATTGGTAGAGGTTTTGATCCTTGATAGTCTGCAAACTTTGTGTGTATTAGACAGCACTTTGGGAGCATGAGAGGTCATACCGTGTCTTATTGTTTTATGGTAGGATTAACGTAGCTACGTCTGTTCTAGTCTAAGTGCTCTTTGTTTAGATGAACTGCAGGACTTCCTCACCGTGTTATCTAGGATGAACCATCTAGGGTGAGGGGGAGGCTACCCTCTTCCTGACCAAGGATGTTTGACCCTTTGATCAGCAACACACACACACACACACACACACACACACACACACACACACACACACACACACACACACAGGCAAGGTACTCTTTGTTTGTATGTAGACGTCGTATGTTAATGAACCTATGCATATTCATGTAACCTCAATAAAAGAATAGTGGTACGGGAGAACGGACGAGAGCAACTGGGGTCAAGCGAAGGAACGGCGCTCTGTCCGGTCTCTCCCGTGCACGAGTAACATGAAGAACTTTGCCTATTTGTGTCTTGCTCAGCAGTGTAATTATATTGTCTTCAACGTTCCAGCGGATGGGTTCAAGCTACAAACCTATCATCACTGGTGACAATTACAGTGTATCACTGCTTTAACCTGTTTACCTGACAGCTTCAACACAGCAGACTAGATGTTTCCAGCTGGTTTCACAGCTAATAGAAACACATATATTTGGTGATGAGTAATAACTGTGCCATGTGAAGATTTAAAAAAAAACCTCAGTTTATATATTTATTGTGATTTTGTCAGTTGTATAATGTCTGATGATGCTTCATTCATTATTTTAGTGCTCAGTACAGTCAGACATGGAAACACTGAAGGTGAGAAATAGTTTTTTCTTCTTGTGTTGCTCTAAATGACGTCCTCTGTGTTATATTTTGTATCATGAACCAAACATTTCATTGATTTATTGGTTAAAATGTTAATATAACCATGTTAACTGTGTGAGCAATCAAACACACACCCACGATACAAACTGTATATTTACTGAAGAGCTGTGGCTTCATACATGTAGATTTTCTTTTCATGTTTATCTGATCAGAATATATCAACAGTGTGTGTAGTGCAGATTATCTCACTGAGTTTTGCTGTTCTTCACATCACACTGACCTGTGATGTGAAGAACTCTGCTGACTTTGAATATGACTGGTTCAGAGAACCCAGTGTTTACTCTAACCAGAAGACCAAAGTAGCTGGTGAATCAAAGAGAGAACTGGTGACCTCTAAAGGCGGCATCTACAACTGCAGAGGACGTATAAAAGGGACAAATTTACTCATAGTAGAAAGTGATCCAGTCACCATTCAGGAAACTGGTGAGTTTAAAAATGTCATAAGAAATAAAACAACATGGATTCCCCAAAGTTTGGAGATCAGAGGGGGATAATATTATGACAAAAACTTATGTTACAAAGTGATTCATGGCCCCAACCTGCCAAGTTATTTATGATAATATAAAATGTTGTAAAGTTAAAAAATAATAAACAATAATGGGGTTAAAATATTTGATAATACTGTTTTTATTTTTAATGATAATATGTTAATCAGTCAGAAATTAAATGTGTGGCTCAGTCGTTCATAAACGTGTTTTGTGATTTGGCCCCTGATGCTCCAGTTGTCACGGTTCAGCATTTTGAGTCTCGTGTGTTTTGGTATTTTATAATATGTTTTATGTTCTGAGTCCTTTGCTGTTTTGATTATTGCAGTTATTATTATTATTACCCCAGGATCAGTTATGGCTGTTATGGTTTTAGTTCTTAGGTTTTGTTTTTGTGTTCATGTTGTGTTTACTTTGTGCCTTTCTGTCCCACGTTTCAGGTCTCTATGTTCTGTCTCACAGTCTCTGTTAAGTTTACGTGTCTAGAGTTCAGTCGGTGTGTTTCCTGTTTTACTTTGAAGGTCTGCGTCTCATGTCAGTGTTTCTAGTTTTGTTTCCCTTGTCTCGTCCTGCCTAATAGACCCTGTGCACGAGAAAATGATAACTTCCTGGTTTGAGACAGGATCTGGGGTTGTACATTTCTGGTAGCTTTACTTTGTGGTCAATCGCTACTGTGAAGACATCCTCCAAAATCATGTCCAGAACAGAAAACTGAAAGATCAGGTTAAGTTACAAAGAGCAGAAGGTGGGAACACTCACCACTGTGTGTCACAAAAAATCTAATGATCAATTTTGACGTTTAAGCGTTTAGATCAATCAGTTGTTTACATCACTCAAAAGAAGAGGAACTGCATCACTGCAGCAGAAGACACATCGTCCACATTCAGAAGCACATCTCTGTATAGTGACTGGTCTCATGATTTAAACAGGCAAATGTTCAGCATTCAAACTACAGGTGAAGAATAGTCAAACCAGATGTTTCCCTGTTATGTCGATATCAGCTAGTCAAGCACACACCTACACAGCATGTTAACAAACCGTGAAAAAAGCCACACAAAAAATGAATGAATGCTGGTAAGGCTTTCTATACATTAGTATTTATGAAGGGTATGTTGTGACTTACCTTCAAAATTACAGTGGTCCTTCGCTATGACGCGGTTCACCTTTCAACTCGCTGTTTAGCAGATTTGTTAGTGCAAATTTGCACGTTTTTTTTTTTACATCACATTGTGTCCTGCGTCCTGATCGCTGCAGACGATCTCCTCTGTGCCGTCTCTGCTGCACAGTACACAATCGCTGCATCGATGGCTAGCAGTGTGACTCTGAAGTGCAGTCAAACTGCTTTTTCCCCAACAAACACAACAATGTCGACGAAACGTTTACCACCATCAAAAAAATAAAATTGGCTACTTGATTTCACCTTTCGCTGGTTATTTTTAGAACATAACACCCGCGATTAACGAGGGACCGCTGTTTACAAATACTGAGAAATATAGAATTTAAATCCTTTCTCTGTTCTGCTCTGAGGCGCGGGGGAAAAATATCGACAGGTCTATGAACAGCATCTACAAACATATTCCGTAAATGCCCAAGACATCTCGAGAAATGTAAATCTCACCTCGATTCATCAATTTGGTTGACTTGTTTTGGAAAAAGCGGCAGTAAACAAGGGGCGAATATAACACCGGAAACGAAGCGCCCTACAGGAGTTTCCCCACCGGAAGTAGCATATGCTAATGTGCACATAGTCTATTACTCCCAGCTGTGCTCTCCTGCTGTCTCATTCCCTTCATTATACTGCAGCTCTGTTACCATGTTGAGACAGAAATCAGAGAAAATTTGAAATGTCTTAAACTGAGAGGAAAGAAAAAACAATATAAAGAAAATATTTGTGTAGATTTTGTTTTGTTGGAATTTGAGTCACTTAAAGAAATCTTTTAAAATTTAGGATATTTTACATTTACATTGTATCAGGTGTATATTTTCTTACCTGCTTTTTCATAACAGCATATAGACCCAGGGCCATATCCATTTACCCAGAGTCACTAACTGAAAATCTTCAGATCTGTTTTAGGTATGATTGATTGTTTTTATGCAATTTTAATGAATCATCTGCATATTTATATAATTTTCCTCCTTTTTCATAACATCAGATAAACCCAGGGCCACACTGACAGCAGGAACTACAATCATACCAGTAGGGGGCAGTGTGACACTGACCTGCTTTGTGCAGAGCTCTGATGGATGGAAATATGAGTGGTTCAGACGAACCCAAACAACCTCTGAACTTCAAATCAGAGATCAACAAAACAGAGATATCAGAGTATCTCAAGGAGGAATCTACAGCTGCAGAGGAACAAGAGGAAACCCAGTTTACTACACTGATATAAATGATGATGTTATCATTGAGATAACCTGTGAGTTCAGTCATTTAGTTTGAAATATACATTCACTCATGATTATCAAACATACAATGTAAAGTTTTCTGTGTTGATTTCATGTTTCTGTTTGTATCTCAACTGTTAATATGTGTAAACAGTTTCCAATAAAGTTGTTGTAAAACAACAACTTTACTGGCCTCAGATATTCAGAGGTGAGACGATCACTCTGACATGTGAGGTGCAGGAAGGAGGTGAAACCACTGAGTGGTGGTATGAATGGAGAGGACCCAGCACACCCACACAGTGGACACACAATAATGATGTGACATTCAGAGTTTCTGTGTCCAGCAGTGGAGACTACATGTGTAAGAGTCGACGCAGAGATGACTCATATTCTTCAACAGAGTGGAGTGAAGCCTTCACATTGTCAGTATCAAGTAAGTCATGTTTGTTGTGTGATCTCCATTTGACAAATGTCATAATGGTCAGCACAGGATGAATTCAATGGTCTACAAAGCATGTTACATTGTTGGTCAGACAAAGAGCTGCAGCTACTAGTAGCCTCATTGTAGACAGTTTGTCACCACTTTGTGTCACGAACTCTCAGCTGGTATAGAGACGCCAATGCTGACCTGCTGCTCCATCACCTGAGGACAATAATGACAGAAATAAACAGAGATAATAATAATAATAATAATAATAATAATAATAATAATAATAATAATAATAGTAGTAGTAGTAGTAGTTTACAACAAATAACAATAAATCTACAGTTTGTATTTTTTTTAAGTCATTCTGGCCTGTCCTCTCATAAAACACTGCCATTTGTTAAAATAAAACACACACATGACTGTGTTTAATACAAAAAGCAATGATGACCAATTAGATTTAGAGCTCAATTGAAAACATTTATGGTTGGAGCCACACCAGCTTCACTCCAAAAAAGACACCAGAGCAAAGCAGCAGATGGAGGAGAATCGAGGGAGGGAAGTTAAAAATATAACATAAACATAAAAATATTGTTACTGTTACTATGACTACCATAATCTCCACCACTAGTCACCTCCAGCAGGAGGATACTGAGATTGAGCCCTTTAAAGTCACTCACAGAACCTGAAGATGGTCCAGTTCAGTGTGTGTGTGTGTGTGAATGTAGAACCACATAAGTGATGGATATGTTTGATTTACTGATATTATTAATGATGTGATTTTTGATATTTGATGTTAGTTACTGTCTCTGACTGTATCAGTGAAGACCTCCCTGCTTTATCACTGTAACCAGTAGCATTTATTCATAATGTGTGTTCAAATATTCAGAAATAGTATAAAATACAGAGTATCTTTAATTAATTTTGTTATGGAAACTTTTTCATGCTGTGAAATTTGAAACTTTAACCAGGACTGCTGTATTTTACCTGTTACTTTGCTCACAAATGCTGTAATCGATCATTACTACATGTATGTGTTTTAATGTATAATAACAGCAACAGCAGATAAAAATATAGTTTTAAAAAGGAAAAGAAACATTTAAACCTTCACAAAAGGTGACTTCTTTCTATTATACAGTATAAAACAAACACCAAACATTTCCCTCTTAACACATCATTGTGTTTCCTTCAGCAGTGAACTCCATTAGTTTACATTCAGTGTAACTTCTTCAGGCCAGAAAATGGACAAATAGTTTTACTATCCTTACTTTGTGATGTAAGAGTTACTGCAGCTCTGGCATCATGTTGACATAGACACAATTCAGCAACAGAAAATCAAACTGTCTTAAAGTGCAGAGAAAAAAGTTTGTTCTGTCATCTGGGGAGTTTTTAAAGTTTAAATGTATTTTCTTGTATTTTTAGTCAAGAGGATGAAAAATGTATATGTTTCCTTTTCATAACATCAGATAAACCCAGGGCCACACTGACAGCAGGAACAACAATCATACCAGTAGGGGGCAGTGTGACACTGACCTGCTCTGTGCAGAGCTCTGATGGATGGAAATATGAGTGGTTCAGAGGAACCCAAACAACCTCTGAAGGTAAAATCAGAGATCAACAAAACAGAGATATCAGAGTATCTGAAGGAGGAATCTACCGCTGCAGAGGAACAAGAGGAAACCCAGTTTACTACACTTATATAAGTGATGATGTCACCATTGAGAAAACCAGTGAGTTCAGTCATTTAGTTTGAAATATACATTCACTCATGATTATCAAAAATACAATGTGAAGTTTTCTGTGTTGATTTCATGTTTCTATTTGTATCTCAACTGTTAATATGTGTAAACAGTTTCCAATAAAGTCGTTGTAAAACAACAACCCAACTGGCCTCAGATATTCAGAGGTGAGACGATCACTCTGACATGTGAGGTGCAGGAAGGAGGTGAAACCACTGAGTGGGAGTATGGATGGAGAGGACCCAGGACACCCCCACAGTGGACACACAATAATGATGTGACATTCAGAGTTTCTGAGTCCAGCAGTGGAGACTACATGTGTAAGAGTCGACGCAGAGATGACTCATATTCTTCAACAGAGTGGAGTGAAGCCTTCACATTGTCAGTATCAAGTAAGTCATGTTTGTTGTGTGATCTCCATTTGACAAATGTCATAATGGTCAGCACAGGATGAATTCAATGGTCTACAAAGCATGTTACATTGTTAGTCAGACAAAGAGCTGCAGCTGATAGTAGCCTCATTGTAGACAGTTTGTCACCACTTTGTGTCACGAACTTTCAGCTGGTATAGAGACGCCAATGCTGACCTGCTGCTCCATCACCTGAGGACAATAATGACATAAATAAACAGGATGAAAATATAGTATAGTATCTGCAGGTTATGTAAAACCGGCAGATAGAGGAAGTGGATGACATCCAGAAGTCCTGCCAGTGGCTGGACAAAGCTGGACTGAAACACAACACAGAGGCACTAATCAGGGCAGCACAGGCACAAACTCTGAACACAAGATCCATAGAGGCTGGGGTCTGCCACATCAGGCAAGACCCCAGGGGCAGGCTGTGTAAAGATGCCCCTGAGAGAATCCAGCACATAACAGCGGGGTCCAAGATGCTAGCAGGCAGGGGCACACATGGAACGCCATAACCAAGTGGCCAGCATAGTGTACAGAAACATCTGTGCCGAGTATGGCCTGGAAGCTCTGAGGCCAAAATGGGAGACCTCCCGTAGGGTGATCAAGAATGACCAAGCTAAGATCCTGTGGGACTTCCAGTTACAGCTGCACAAAATGGTGATGCCTAACCAACCGGACACAGGGGTGGTACATAAGTGGAAGAAGACGGCTTTAGTAATAGACGTAGTGATACCGAATGACAGCAACATCAGGAAAAAGGAACACAAGAAGATGGAGAAGTAACAAGGGCTCAGAGAAGACCTTGAGAATATGTGGAGGGTGAAAGTAACAGGGGTCCCAGAGGTAATCGGAGCGCTAGGTGCAGTGATCCCAAGCTAGGCAAGTGGCTCCAGCAGATCCCAGGAACCAACATCCAAGATCTCTGTCCAGACGAGTGCAGTCCTACGAACAGGAAAGATACTGTGCAAGACCCTCAAGCTCCCAGGCCTCTGGCAGAGGACCTGACCTTGAAAGAAGACCGCCCACAGAGGGCGAGGAGGAAATTATATGATATAGGCAGGTAATAAATCAGAGGGAATTTGATTTTGTAACACAGTCTAATATGTCTGATTTGCTGATTACTCATTTATACAAAACTACTCAGTAGTGATGGGACGTTCTGTATCGAGGCTTCGGAGCGTGTGTCGAGTAATGGAGGGGGCGTTTCCGCGAAGCGCGTATCGAGGCTTGCTTCATTTATGGGAGGAGCTGAAAATGATGACGTCCGAAGCCTCGCTGCCCGGCTGTACCACGTGACTGGTTCATGAAGCGGTTCGAACTTTGCCGCAAATAATCATTTTCCATACTGCCAGCATAAATATACACAGTATTCTGCCATCACTACAATATACATGTTTTACACACTCCTTTTGTTGTTGACATTTACAGGCTGTGTGCAAAATGCCACACTCTTCAAATTCATGCCAGCTATTATTTTTACGTCCAGTAGGTGTCCTGCTAGAGCAAATGAAACTTCATGAAGCTTCACGTTGGGGTGAACCAATTGGATGAAAAGCTCCAGTGCTTCATGGGGCTTCATCTGCCCATCACTACTACTCAGTGAATATTTAAAGTGTGATCAGTGTTGTAAGAAATTTCTTCCTGAGACAAGTGACAATCTATTCTACTTTTTCCTGTAAATTAATTGCAGATAAACCCAGGGCCACACAGACAGCAGGAACAACAATCATACCAGTAGGGGGCAGTGTGACACTGACCTGCTCTGTGCAGAGCTCTGATGGATGGAAATATGAGTGGTTCAGACGAACCCAAACAACCGCTGAAGGTAAAATCAGAGATCAACAAAACAGAGATATCAGAGTATCTGAAGGAGGAATCTACGGCTGCAGAGGAACAAGAGGAAACCCAGTTACTACACTGATAGAAGTGATGATGCCACCATTGAGAAAACTAGTGAGTTCAGTCATTTAGTTTGAAATATACATTCACTCATGATTATCAAACATACAATGTGAAGTTTTCTGTGTTGATTTCATGTTTCTATTTGTATCTCAACTGTTAATATGTGTGAACAGTTTCCAATAAAGTCGTTGTAAAACAACAACTTTACTGGCCTCAGATATTCAGAGGTGAGACGATCACTCTGACATGTGAGGTGCAGGAAGGAGGTGAAACCACTGAGTGGGAGTATGGATGGAGAGGACCCAGGACACCCCCACAGTGGACACACAATAATGATGTGACATTCAGAGTTTCTGAGTCCAGCAGTGGAGACTACATGTGTAAGAGTCGACGCAGAGATGACTCATATTCTTCAACAGAGTGGAGTGAAGCCTTCACATTGTCAGCATCAAGTAAGTCATGTTTGTTGTGTGATCTCCATTTGACAAATGTCATAATGGTCAGCACAGGATGGATTCAATGGTCTACAAAGCATGTTACATTGTTAGTCAGACAAAGAGCTGCAGCTGATAGTAGCCTCATTGTAGACAGTTTGTCACCACTTTGTGTCATGAACTTTCAGCTGGTATAGAGACGCCAATGCTGACCTGCTGCTCCATCACCCGAGGACAAGAATGATATAAACAGGATAAATAAATAATATATTCAAACAAATAACAATTGATCTACAATTTCTATAAAAAGAATAAAAGTAATTCTGAACTATCATCTGATCAAATAAATAAACACACACAGACATACCACCAAAAATAGTGGTACTGTTTCTATGATTAACAGTCTCATAACTCTGAGTCACTGCCACTCACCTTTAGCAGGAGGCTGATTGAGATTGATCCCTTTAAACTCCCAGGTCCTAAAGACGGACCAGCTTATTAATCAATCTTCAAGTACTTTTTAAATACAGCAAAGAAAATATAAAACTTTCACAGCTTTGATCAAAACGATTGTACAATTTGTATCTCTTCAAGATCACCAAGATTTGTTGATGTTCACCATTTACATCTAGTTATTTAAACGGTTTTGATTCAGTCACATGCAGCACACAGGACTGACAGCGCACAATCTGCTTTGAGGTAGCAGCCAAGAAAGATGAAGTTTGTGTCTATGAACAGTGAACATCCGTATGTACACGATTCAGTCATTGACTTTTGTTCTTTTTCTAAACTGAACTGCAGATAAACCAAAGGCCAAACTGAGAGCTGATAACACAACTGTTCCAGTAGGGGGCAGTGTGACCCTGACCTGCTCTGTGAACCCATCATCATCATCTGGATGGAAATACTACTGGTACAGAGATAATACCACAGTGGATGTTGTCCCCACATCAAATGGACAAATCAGTGTCTCACAGGAAGGACTCTACAGGTGCAGAGGAGGAAGAGGAAACCCAGTTTACTACACAGAGGACAGCCAAGAAATTCAGATTAACACAACTGGTGAGTTTGGATTCAGCAACAATGTTGAATAGATAGATGATTGAGGGTTACTATGAAGGTCAAACAGCATTATATCTCATGGTAACCTCTTTGGCATTGTAAAAATGTTCTTATTGGAAATGGTTGAATATGAGTAGTCATGTAAAATGTGGAGTCTAGAGAATCAGTGTCAGGAATGTGATCTAAGGAGGGGAGACTAGGTGGGATTGTGAATGTGAAACAATCATTTTCAGCAAATCTCCAAATCAACATAAATTCACAATTAGTTCTGTAACAATTCTACAAGTAACACTGCAAGTAGTGTAGAACAGGAGTCACAACATGAAACCACAGAGCAGAGTCATGCTGACAGTTTCTGACAGGAAACAGAAAATCTCAATGTAAACATCAGTTTTTGTTTCTTTATATTAAGATTTGACTGTTTGACATATTTATATAGTAAAAGTTTGTAACGCAGATTTACTGAAGTAAACATTTAAGAGGAAATTTAAGAGACTTGTGTTTATGTGTTCATTGTGGGGAGTCAAGTCATTTAAACACAGCAGGAGTTGACTCAAAGTGGTTTCAAGTCAAGGAAAATCGATGAACTGGATTTATTATAAAATTATCTTATAAAATATCAAATATAATTAAACTTTATTATTTGTTGTCACTATCTTTGGCAGAATTTTCATCTCCTGTGTGGTTGATGGTTGGACTGGTTTGTGGAGTCTCTCTCATTATTATTCTCCTGCTCTTGTTGTATCGCTGCAGACAGTCCAAGTGTAAGAGCCTCTTCTTTTCATGCTGTATTAGAGAGTTTATTTACTATACACACTTTAATTATTCACACATATACATGTTTTCTGATCTCTTGACACAAAATAAATGTGGAGCAATTTACACGACAAACATGTGTAATACCATTTGTCTCTTTCACAGATTCCTGCTTCACCAGGTTGGTAAAATACTTTTTATTATTATTTTAAACAAACATCAGTTACTTTTGAGTTCATTGTGTTTATTTCCTGTTTCAGGTCGATCCAGTCTGAGAGTCACAGTCCAGGCTCCTCCACAAATCATGGAGTCAACCAGAATGAAACTCATGAATACAACTCTGTTCATCCTGGTCAGCACTTAAACCGATCTTCATTATCATGATTAATATTGACTTTTCATTCAGTCTCCATTAACAGGAACATTTCTTAGGTTCAGTTTGTGTTCAGCAGCTTTAAAGAACATTTATAAAAATCCAGTTGGACAAACATCCAAATAACCAACTGACTACATGCACAAAAGATCAGAAACAAACAGGATTTTACAACCTGATTGTATCTTTAACTCGACTGAAAGAATCCACAAATGTTATTGTTTCATATCAGATCAACACAAACAGTAACACCATGATGGGTTCATGCTCTGAAAATATCTGACAGTCCTGGATTTGACTTAAACACAACTAATGAAATTGAATGTGATGTGTTCACAAACATTTTTACATTTCAGGTGCAGATGAACCGCGAGACGTCACATACTCTCTTATTAAACTTCAAAACTTTGGAAAGAAGAGTGAGTACACAAAACACGGTGTAGAAAAAAGCCTGGGAAGTTTTTAAAGTGTTTAAAATGTTTTAATTATTTTCATTAATCTGATCATCTTCACAGAGAAGCATCATAAAGCAGAGCAGAGTGCTGTTTACTCTGAGGTGAAGACAGGAGCTGCAGGTACAGTCACAACAGTCTCATTCAGTGTTTGCACTTGAACGTGTCATCACATCATTATATTGCAGGTAATTATAGGTCAACATGGAGTTTAGTTATTCACTGACCAAGCTTAGCTACTACATACGACCACTACACATCAGCAGACCGAATCTTATACACATCGAGGGCCGTTCAGAGTTTAGTGTAAGTTTGTCTGCTTCATATACAGAATGATATTGTTATTGTACAGTATGGTATTGTCCATCTATATGTCCCCCAACTAAATAGTTTCTCTCATGTTTTTACTCTGTAATGTTCTTGTCATCATATCTGTGCTGAACAAATGTGTCCTGAGCTCTGACGTCTCTTTTAGAGGACAGTCTGATGTATGCTGAGGTCAAACAGCCCAAAAAAGAAAAAGCCAAGAAAAACAAAGGTGAGCAAAGTCTGCCATCATCTCCACTGAATATTGTTCATCATGTTTATCTGCTCTTAAAATGTAAATCTGTTTATTTTATAGTTTATATTTATGTATTCACACTTTGTCAGCTATTTAAAATCTTCTCTTTTATCTTTGCATCAGTGGAGACATCCAGTTTCCTCCTGGTTAATGATATTATTGTTTTCAATGATCTTCTCTTCATTCACAGGAAAATCAAGTCCTGCAGCTGATGCAGCAGTTTATTCTGAAGTCACATCAGGAAGCTCTCTCAGTAATTCTGCTGCCATGCAGGCTGATTCATTCTTCACATTATTAAATGTCTTCAGCTCATAATATCTTTACATGTTGGAAATCACTTTGTCTCTTTGTGCTTGTCTTACAGGTCAGTGAGGAGAGCTGTAGCAGCAAAGCCAAGAAGAAGCTTTTTATGAAGCCACTCTTGCTTCTCTGCTGCCCAAATATCAGACATACTCAGCTTTATGTGCAGTTACAATATTACATCATAACATCATATAATTCAGTATAAACCAAATGGAGGTGTATTCATATTCAATATTCATGCTCTTTATCTTCGGTTACTTTTATAAAAAAATTGTAATAAACCTTGACTGTATCTAACATGTTCCAACAGCAGTGAGAAATATGTGATGTTTAGTATCTGACAGCACAATTTACAGTCAGTGTTTGCAGTGTAAATACTGATATGGGCACCAACAAATACTTTAACTGTGTTTGTTTACATTATATAAATAAGAATTATATCATAGGCAGTGAATATATTTGAATGTATTTCATGTATATTTTTGTGTTTCTGATCATTTTTCGCATCTTTTAGTTAGAAGGTAGAAATAATTTTTTTTTACATTTGAACATTTTATGTTTCCTTTGTTTCCTGTATGAAATTATCCACAAACTAACCAGATCATCTCTCTATGTGCTGATAGTTAAATGAAAATATAACTTGTACATGGGCTAAATCTCATATGACAGATTGCATGGAGACAGAACATCACCGAGAATTAAAGCTCTGCATCAATCACGGTCAGCACGACTCAGAGAAGTAGCAGTATTAAAATTCATTAATACGACACAAACCTCAGAGCTAAAAATCCAGACAGGTTCAACCAAGAACAAGACAGCAACAAAACATCTGTCTGACCCTGCGGAGTCTGATTGTTTAGTCACAGTGAGGAGGAGGCACAGGTCAGTCAGGTGTAAACTTAACCAGCTGGGTTGAGCCTGGTTTGCATTTTTCTGCAAAATCAGCATGACGGTGATAAACAGTGCTGATCATATCCTCTAATACAGGGTGACCATAATTTGATTTCCAAAAAAGAGGACACTTGTGCCAGTCATGAAGAACCTTTATAATACTGTTTACATGAAGAAAACATATTTAAACAATAACATCTCTGTGCAGTTAATGAATGGTGAAATAAAAAATGTCATATAGTCTTTTACAAGTCAACAAGTGGTCACCTTACTCTAATAGCTCAGCTGTGCTGTAGATGGGTTTCCCTCTTCACTATCAATCATGTCTTTGTCCTATAAAGTGGGAGAGCAACTACAACTACACTGGTGACTTTTCATTTTGTCCTGTTACCATTTGTAACTAATTTGTTGACTTTATGTCATTTTAGTTTCTAATAAAATGTCACGCAGTCCTGTGTTCCCTGATTTAATTAAATCTGTGAATTAGGATGCAGAAGCAGAGAGTTTAGAGGTTTTATTGCAGGGTTAATAAATGGTGGTGTGAGAGAAATTCTGCACAGACTCTGAGTCTGAAAGACGAACAGTGTTTGGAGTCTGCTGTTACCATCACAGCTGTGTAGGTGGCAGTAATACAACTTTATGCTGGTTCTCAGCCACTAATGAAAAAGAAGTGAGCTTCTTACAGCTCTTCATAACTTACTGTTATTATTGTATTTTTATTTTATCTGATCAGCAATAATTCAGGTCGTTAAAGTGTTTGAAATGTTATTAGTGTTATTGCTCATTATTATTACTGTGATTAGTGTAACGGCTTTAGGACCCAGGGGATCAAACAGAGGGTATAAAAAAGGAAGTAGCAGCAGGTGCTCTTCTTCTTCTTCTCTCCTTTGTTCTGATGTGAGGCTGTGGACTGTGGTGTTTGTGGGATGCTGCAAAGTCACAGCTGAAAGTGTTTTTTTTGTTCTTGTTGTTTTATGCATTTACTCTGAGTGTGTGATTATTGTGCTGCTGTTACAGTCTTTCTGTTTTACTTCTCAGCACTGCCATCATGTGTCTGAATACACAGCGTACAGTCAAACTCAACAACCTCAGTTAAAGATTTGCTAACATTTAAAGCTGTTGAGCACCAGTGCAGGTTATTTTTGACCTGTGTTTGTGTTTTTGAATAAATCTCTTGAAGTCTTTGCAAATGGAAAATGTTGTATATTTCTGATGGATGTAAAACTTTTAAAACACTGAAAGAAATTTTAAATAAATTCAGATCTGCAAAGAAATGTATTGATTATGTTTTATTCAAGAATCAATATCAAAACAGTATCACAAGATCAAACTGCAAAGAATAACGTCTTTACTCTTCTGAGCAGCTTACATGTGTGTGAAAGACTGTTGGTGGTCACCATCTTTTCTGCCACAGGCTTATTTTTATCCACTGACAGGCCTCATGGTTTCTGGTTGGGTCACCATGAACAGAGGAAATGCAGCCTGTGGTTTCAACCTCAAGTCTTCAGTGTAGCTGATGTTTAGTTTTATGTTATCAGCTCACAGCAAAGAGTTAACAAGGAGCACAGACAAAGAGCACAGTGGAAATTTCACTTTGACCTCTGTGTGCAAGACACATGTTTACATGATGTGCCTGTACTGGAATAACAGTACTGATCATCAAATATTCAGTTATCTTTATAAAATAGTGCCTCTTCTTCATCATTTTTCATTAATCAATGTATTAAATCCGTAAATCAAACAATCATTTGCACCAAAGTTAATTTATTCAAAGCTAATAATTGAAAACAAAATGAAATTTCTTCATATTTTTGTTCATTTTTTGCACTTTAAGAAAAGTTTTTTCTTTAAAGTGTGAATATTTCTGTAACTGTTGGTGACCTCATAGCTGCAGGCTTATCTGCACCATCTCTGCACTTAAACGTTACAGTGACTTCATTATTTCCATCAGCCTGCAGAACTAAAATGAGGAAGAACAATTGAAGCTAAATATGAGCTGCCTTCCAGATCACATGCTTTAGCTCTGACAGCACAGACAGATGAGGAGGAGACTGTGAGACGTTAAACAGGCAGAATACAGAGCTCAGAGTTTTACACGTTCTGGTTTGTTGTTTTCACACTCCTTAAAACATGAGAGAATGTTTACTGGTCTTCATTTTACTATAAATAACACCTCGGTGTGTAAATTGCCTTAATTGCTAATTTACTGTTAATAGTTAATATTTATTATTATCAGAAAAAGAAAACCATAAGAATCTAAAATCTAAAACAAGACGCTAAAACAGGGCCAACTTTCTCTAAATGTAATCACACAGAGCTCAGATGAGTAGAGAGTAAACAGGCAGGTGTGTTTTCCACAGCAGGTGTGTGTTTGCACAACTGAAGGTTTGCAGGTTGAACACTGGAGAAGATCAGAGACAGAAGAAG